TGGGGCCAGGAGTATAGCTCAGGGGAAGAGCACTTGCCAAGCATGCACCTGGCTGAAGTCAAATAAAACAAAACCCGTGAAATACAATTTTACCTTAAAAAATATTTATTTTAATATATTTCTCCAATATTTACATTCTTAAATGTAGAAGGACCAACTTGTGTAAGCTTCCTAAATGATAGATTTTTAATAATTATTTGAATTATGACACATAATAGAAGTTTTAACACATGCTCTACTATATTCTTTCCTTGTTTGTCTTTTGTGAATTCGTAATAGGAAACAAGCTGAATTAATACTTAAGGGTCCACTATGACCCAATATAGTATGCTATATTTTTTAATACTGTCTCATTTAATCATACAACCCAGTCTATGGGATAGGGATCATGTAGATTTTATAGGCAAGCCTTTGAAAGTTAATTTGTCCAGTTTGAGTCTAATCTCTGTGGAAGTGGAGTGCATTTGTTCATCACTTCCAGGAGATATTCAGTAAATACTGACTAGGAAGTGAAGAATGGATAGAGTACAATTCAGATCATATTTCGACTCCAAAACCTAAAGAGGCCAGTTACCGTCCGTAGTTAAAGAGAAGTGTATTTACACTATACATCTGCTTTTGCTATTAAGTTTATCATTATTTCTCCTTCTGAGTTACGTTTCTAAAAAAATTTCTAAGGAAGGAGACTGTAAATAAAACTTTTAAAGACCTCATGAAAAAACTAGGTTAGAAGGACTGCAAGTCATGTGATAGAACCTAAGAAAAAACAACAACAAAAAAAACCTTAAAAATTTTTTTTTGTTTAAAATTAAACACATCATTTTACATACAGGCTATCAACAGAATTTCATGCACCTTAAATTAGTCATACTGAAAGGTACTTTTACTATTCCTTGCTTGAAATAAAATTTCATTACTAGTATGTTACTCTTCTAAAACATTATAGGTGAAGAAAATGAGAGAAAATTTAAATAATTTTTCCAAAGCAAAATAATAAATGAAGAGCTGAGATCAACTACAGCTAGAGTTTGGAGTGTCTTAAATAATTGGTGTCTATAAGCCTTTAATAGTGTAACAGCTCATATCCAGTCAGTTTTAACATCAACTTAAAGGTTTCTAATCATGTAAGACAACTCCTAGTCAATATGTTATATTTCTCAATCTATCAGTCAAGTCCAAGAACAAGAATGAGCTGTTATAAACAGTATGCCAAAAAAAAAAAGGAAAAAAAACCCCCAAAAAACGGAAAAGGAAGAAAAGTGGTTGATTCTCATTTTCATGAAGGTGAGCTATACTTTCTCCTAATAGTAAAGAATTTACGATTTCTTCTAAAAGTAAACACTTTTCTATCTGGATTCTGCTCTATTCCAAAATAGCACATGGAAGTCAGAAGAGGGCGATGGATCCCATGGGACTGGAATACAGACAATTATTAGCCATCATGTGGGTGCTGGGAATCGAACCTGGGTCCTCTGCAAGAGCAGCCAGTGCTCTTAACTGCTGAGCCATCTCTCCAATCCCTGTGCAGGAGTGTTTTGTGTGCATGTATTTCAGTGCACCCATGTTATATAATCCCTTGGAGGTCAGAAGAGGGCAGTGGACCTGGAACTAGAGTTACAGAATCATTCTCCAGCCCTCAGAAAATGTATTTAACACAGATATACAATCAGCTGCCTAGAAGTTTGATTTTTCTGGACAAACGGTACTATATTTAAATGTAGACCAAGTTAACATTTAAATTGAAGAAACTCATTCATACCTATTCTTATTTACCACAATTCCTTAAAAAAACAAAAAAGAAAAACCTTAAATGCATTAACTTTTAAAGAATGAACATCATGACTTCCGGTGGCTGTGGTGGCTCTGACTGTATCTCCCTGTTATTCTTTCCATTGGTAGACATGGCCCTGGATGGAGACAGTGCTAAAGGACTTATGGCATCTGCAGGCCTGTTTGCTGTGTTAGCTAGTCAAGACTATAGACCAGTTTGAATATGATAGTTGGTAACTGTGATGCATACCTAGAAATGAAGGGTAACAGAGAAATAGTATATGATTGTACCAGCTCTTCATTTGATGGAATCACTGCAATGATGAGTCCAGAAGACAGTTGGGTCTCCAAGTAATGACGAGTCAGTAACTTTAAGCCAGGTGTGTATGCAGTGTCAGTTGCTGGTCACTTCCTGCAAGGAATTATGTGGGAGCTGAAAAGTACAGGAGTGGCCTACAAATCCAGAGATACAACTATCAAGATATAGCTGGGTGCAGGCCTACAATATCTTTGCTTTTTGCTTCTTGCCTTTTTTTGTTGTAGAATTAAACAGGCAGAACTTCAAACTTGTCCTCCAATCCAGAATCAGCAGACTACCGAGAAAGCAGCACATCGGGTCCTGTGCCATTTCACTTCCTTTGGACTGCTGGTCAAAGTGGGAGAGTTGGGTTGGTGGCTTCTCAGGGACTAAACTGAAGGGAGAGTTAAGATGCTGCTTTTCCTGCCCATGTCCATGAGCAGAACTTGGGGTCAAATGCCAATAAACATGAACCTCAGGAATGTCATGAACAGACAAATTTTGTCCCTGAAAATGAGAATTTGTGAGCTGCTGCTTTAGTTCAGAGCTGGAGTACTTGTCTAGTGTGTGGACGGCCCTGTGTTTAATCCTTACCACCAAATGCACAAACACACAGACTAACCAAAACATTCAACAATATTTTAAACTATTTATGGCAGATATAATTGAGTACCACTTTTAAAACTTAACCAACATAAGTTGGGCATGGTGCCACACACCTTTAATCCCCAGACTAGAGATCCAGGGCAGCCAGGGCTGCAAAGTGAGACCCTGTCTCAAAAAAAAAAAAAAAAAAAAAGCCAAAACAAAACAAACCCACAAACCTTAGCCAATGTAAAAATGCTATCCAAAAACAAGCTTAGGTAGATTTCTCTCAATTGTAAAAGAAATACATGTATTCCAGAGAATGCCACAGAGAAGTTTAGCTTTTTCAAGAACAAGACAGAAATGGCCTAGGGCAGTATTTGAAAGTGAGGTGTACATTGCTGCCTTAGAATTATTTGTATTCTGTAGTTCTGTTAAAAACATTGATTACTAGGCTCTACTGCAGATCTACATAAATCAGGATCTCTGGGATGGAAAATTCAAATAGCACTCTGAATTCCAGGTTATTTTGAGTCCCATACCAATTTAAGAATTATTGATCTGGGTCTGGAAAATGTCTCAGTAGTTAAGAGCAGTTGCTGTTCCTGCAGAGGACCTAGGTCTGGTTACCAGCATCCACATGGCAGCTAACAACCATCTGCATTAATTCCAGTTCCAGGGGATCTGATGCCCTCTTCTGACCTCAGCAGACACTGAATTCACGTGGTATACTTACATACATGCAGGCTAAACACTCATACACATAAAATAGAAATAAAATTTTAAAAAGAATAATTGATCCAGATTCAACAGAGGTAAAGATTAACTACATGATTTATAGAATTCCAATTATATCTACTATTTTTGAACATTTGTAGGCAAGGTTAGTTCTACGTCATCAATTGGTAAACCCCACCTAACTGCTGCATGAAGATTTAGCAGTACAGAAAGTTATTTCCTAGTTATCATTTCATCACAATAGTAGAGTTAGAT